ATTCAACTTCCTATGAAGCAATTATCCTCCACCAATCTGCTATCACATTCATCACTGTGTTCAACAGGAGTTGTATCCTCATCTTCACCCACTTCAATAGGTGATACAGATCCATCATCATCTCCGCATTTATATCGACGACAATCAAGGTCTTCTTTTCCTAATCTTCACCAACAGTCATATGTTTCAAAGATTCTTTGAGGTGCTATTCATACTTCAGTTTTTCAATGTTCTTGAAAAATCCTCTTGCAACAGCTTGCTCAAAGGTTAAATTTTTCTCCAAGGAAGTGGGATTCTTCCATTTTCTGATTCTATAAGTTTAATTTTTCATTTTTACCAATTTGTAAACTTCTAGTGTTTCTACTTCCTTTTAGTCTTCCCCTTGGTCATCCTGTTGGTTTATATTTCCTCTTCTTTTTCCATTTCTTTTTCTTAAATCTCAAAAACCACTTTTAAAGTCAATGGTCTTGGTTCCAAATAGGAATCTCTTGCCTGACCATGTTCAGGTAAATGAACGAAGTGTACTTAGAGGTCTTCTTGTCTCAGCTTAGGTGAGGAAGGAATACACTGAGTTTTAAATAAGCTACTACCAGAACATTCAGAGTTATTACTTTGATTCTCAAAGTCCTCAGTAGTAGGTTAAATCAATCACATGTCATTGGGTAGTTGGGAGAATCCATTTTTGAGGTAAATTCTCCAGGCCGTTCCTAAAATCAAATTGCTTTATCCATGACTTTTCACTGCTTTAAAAGGATTAAGTCCTCTTTCCAACTATGCAGAAAAAATCAGGGACTAACTATTGTTTCCCTAAAACTGAGCTTTCTGCTTCTTGGTGGTGGTGGTGGTGGTGTGCTGTGGAGTTAGTGCCAACTCACAGTGACCCTATATAGGGGTTTCCGAAACTGTACATCTTTATGGAAGCAGAACACCTCATCTTTTTCCTGAGGAACAGCTGATAATTTCGAACTGCTGACCTTGAGGTTAGCAGTCCGACTCGTAACCACTGTGCTACCAGAGCTCCCTTCTGCTTCTTAGTGAGAGGTTAAAAGACCCATCGGAGAGATGGTTATAATTGACTGGGTTGGAGAGAAGGCCTTGGGGCCCCAATGAGTGTACATGCTGCAATGAACAAGATAAATACATCTACTCATCACTGACAGCTTCCTGTCATGGTGGAAGTGCTTCCCTTAGTACTTCATAATAGAGCAGAGAGTCTAAGAATCACGGAATCTTTCTTGCCTAAGTGAATTTACAGTTCTTCTAAAATAAGACTGGAAACTAGAAAGCAGGATACCACAAAATAGGCCCATTTGTGAAATGAATGATTCAGATTTTACTTTAGCCTTTAAAACCATTCTGCCTCAATAAGAGCCAATAAGAAGGCAACTTCTAGCAGTGTGCTTGCTGATATTCACTGGGCAAAGGGAGAGGAGGCACAGTGAAGGTCTTGGTGTCAAAGACCTTGAGACACAGGTACTTTTCACCAGCCTCTAAAGTGAGAAGGGTGAACTGGGTAGCTTGGAGACATCCCTCACCTCCATTCACTTGGAAAATTCCCTCCAGAGCATCCTTCTGGAAAAGTATGGCGGGTCTGTCTGGCCCTCCATGTCAGACCTGCTGCCCACCTCACAGACCACGAGGGGAGCAGCAGCTCTAGTATGCACTTGGCACTTCGCATCACCTGGCATGGTGGCCAGCCCAGGGAAAAGTCAGTAATCAATGAACAAACACGAAACATAATTGCTGGACAGCAAAGTGAGAAAAATGTGAGAAATACCATGAAGATTGTGTCATTCTGTGCTCACTTGTCTCTACAATTTTTTTTTATAATCACTGAACTACATCCTAATGGATAGTCATCAAAAGTTGATATATTTAGATTCTCAACGAAGTTCATCAAGACACCAAGATGTGAAGTGATCAGTTGATTTGAAGCAAAAATAAGCAGACTTATTACTTCAGTGGGGCCTTCCCAGATTCACAGTAAGAGTAATTCACATGAATAAGAACTCATGGGAGCACATCCCCAGGTCTTTCCTCCCATGGAGCAGTCTGAACTGACTTCCTTTTGGTTAGCAGTCAAACACTTTACCATTGCACCACCAGGGCTCCCTAGAGATCACAGCCTAGGAAACCTTAGGGAAAGTTCTACTCTGTAAATTTATTATTTCCCTCCTAAAATATGGCTGCAAAGTGGTTATGAGTCAGACTGCTAACCTCAAGATTAGCAGTTTGAAATTACCAGCCGTGGGAGAAAAGATGAGGCTATCTGCTCCTGTAAAGATTTATAGCCTCGGAAACCCTATACAGGGTTGCTATGAGTCAGAACAGACTCCATGGCACACAACTACCACTACTACCACCAAAAACATGGTTAAGAGGCCCTCGTGGCCCACTGGTTTAAGTATCAGACTGCTAACTACAAGGCTGGCAGTTAAAACTCACCAGCTGCTCTTGTGGGATAAATTGAGGCAGTCTGCTTCCGTAAAGATTTCCATTCTTGGAAACCCTATCTACTCTGTCTTATACAGCCATTCAGAGTTGAAATCATGTGCCGTTGAACCGGTTCTGAGTATATAGTATATGGCTGGTGAGTTTGAACCGCAGTGTTGATTTCATTTTTTTTTTTTTTGAGATGTTTATCTTTTTTTATATTTTAATTTTATTGTTGTTAAGCATACACAGAACAAAACATACACCAATTCAAAAGTTTCTACATATACAATTGGGTGACACTGATCACATTTTTTTGAGTTGTGCAACTGTTCCCACCCTCCTTTTCTGAGTTGTTCCTCCCTCATTAACATAAACTCACTGCCCACCTGAGATTCCTAGCTAATCTCTTGAGTTGCTATTATCAACTTGATCCCATATAGACAAACTGAACATTTCTAATAAGCTTCCAGGTGATACTGATGCAGCTAGTCTATGAATCACACTTAAGTGTCCAAGGATCTAGAAAACACCAGGAAACAGGATCCAGATTCTCTAGACCCCAAATTCAGAATCCAAGGGAGAAAAGCAGGTATGGAGCAGAAATTACAACAATACAACAGTAAGTAAGAAACTATGGTTAAAAAATTATTGTTGTTAGGTGCCACAGAGTCGGTTCCAACTCATAGCAACCCTGTATAGGGTTTCCAAGGAGTAGCTGATGGGTTTGAACTGCTGACTTTGTGGTTAGCAGTCCAGTGTTTATCCTACAATGCCACATCAGGAATCCTACAAAATCATAGATAAATTTATTAAACAAAAATATCAAAACGTGAAGTTATTGATTCTCAACATCTCCTCCATCAAAGTCTATGAATACTTCTGAAGGCAGTGTTTTCTTCTCTCCAACCCTTCCCCAAAGAATTCTGCTTCGATTTATACCAAGTGAAAATAGCACTTGGGCATCCTTGAGGGACTCAAATTATGTTCCTTGTTAATGTTCTTTTTAGTTTTTGATGGAAAAAAATTCTGAAATGGCATGATAAGAGTTGTGTGGTAGATGGGGTAATGTTTTCCCCACAAAATCTTGGAGGACAGACCTTGTTACCCTCAAAGAATGAGCAGGTACACTGTCATGATACAAAAAACAAACAAACTTCCTCGGCATTACTTTCCTGTTCTTTCTTACCAATGCAGTTTTCAATATTTTTTTAAAAAATTTCTTCCCTATGTTTGTCCTATGCCCTTTGTGAAAATCCATCAAGATTAGCCCTTTGAATTAAAAAGAAAGAAAGAAAGTCATCACAACCTGAGTTGACCTCTCTGCATTTAATTTAATGGGCCCAGCAGATTGCTTCAGCAGCCAGTTTTGATTGGTTTTGTTTTGAAGTCACCCTAATGAGACTAAGACATGTTTACTATTAGGAAAATTTGTCTGCAGTCAAGCATTGATCGCAGAGACACATGTTTAAACATGTTTAGTTTGGAATGAGCCCATGCATGTATAAACTGGAAGCCTCAGTAGTAATATGTGTCTATTTATCCTCATACAAGAAAGCCTGTATAAAGAGTGTGGCCTTAGACCTCAAACCAATCTAAAAATCTATAAGCATATTTTACGTGTGTGTGTGTGTGAAATGAGTGATAGTTTACATGGAAGAACATCAGCTTTACACTATCATTTCATTGCAGTGATTACAATCTCCTCCGTTTATCATCATTAAACAGTGTTTGCTTTCATTCCCTCTGTTTTTTTTTTCTTTTTTGGGGTGTGTGGGGTATGTGTGGGGAGATGTACACAAAAACACTCAGGAATATATAATAATTTAAACAACCAAAGGGCACTTTCTGCAAGCCTGCCTCCTGGCCGCCAGCACTCAGTTCCTCTCTTTCCATGAGTTTAGAGTCCTCAGCCGCTCCCTCTTTCCATGTCCTCATCTCTGTATAGGCATACTCTTGACAGGTGTGGATACCATCTAGGTTCTTGAACAATGACATCAGCTTATTTAAGCAGTACACACACTTGTTTAGTTTCCTTGGCAACCAATCCCCCAGTATTGTAGCTCTCCTCCCTGCACCTCTGTGGAAATGGTGATGTGTCAAGGTTGGGTTCAACATGGTCCAGAAACAGAGTCCCAATGGGTGGCTATGGAGAGCACCCAGGCCAGTAAAAGTGGGCAAAGAATAAAGAGCTTTGAGGGGCAGAACTGGGTGGATAAGAGTAAACCTCTTACAGTGCAAAGTGCATCTGACTTCTCAATATTTCATATTACAGCTGGAGTTAGGCAGAGATGAACTGGCTTATTTACATACATTATTTTGTGTATTCATGAAACAAACATAAGCCTAGGGATCACTGTTGTCAATTGACAGATGAAGAAATAGAGGCACATGGAGGTGAATGGACTTATTCAGAACCACACACCAGGTATAGGACAGAGGAGAGCTAGGATCTGGTCCATCTAACTCAAATGTGAATACTCTTAAATGTTACACCCAAGTCTCTTCACAGAAGCCAAAATTCTAACAGCAACTGGAGCACGAAGATCAAAACTACACACACTTACATTGCCTTCCTTTTCAAAGTCCGGCGGGAGTAACTTCACGAAATTATCAGGGAACACGCCTCGTCTGCCATTGAGCTCTCCTTCCCACCAGCCTATGTCGATGCAGTCCTAGGGAATAGGAGAACAGAGAGTTAGAAATGGGGTGAGCACTTTCCAGAGGATCTTAAGGTTGCTATGAGTCAGAATCACCCCACAGTATACAAACCATCCAGAGAGGTCCAACATCACTTTTGAGAAAATGGAGGCTCTTTCCTTGAGGAAAGGAAGAAACTATCAATGTGACATCCATTACTAAGACTAAACACACACCCCAACATCAGAAAGGAGAACAAAAGCTTAAGTGTGTTGGAACTGCTGGCTGGGATGAAACACCAAATGCTACCGAGGCAAAGCAATAAGGTTTTTGTTTTGTTTTAATTTATTTTAAAGATAAGAGGATGCACATTTTCTTAGTTTTAATTTTACTGAAATAAAATTATTACATTGATTGCAAATGTGGCTTGGAAAATACAGCATGCAGAAATGTCCTCTTTGATTAGCCTGTCACAAAGCTTGCCGAAAGTAAAACGGGCTTTGCAACAGCCAAGTGACAAAAAAAAAAATAAAATAAATAAAATAAAATATCACACTTCCAGCAAGCTATGAATCCACTGGTCTCCTCGACCTTCTGCTTCGTATATTGATGGAGCACAGGTGCCACCAGGAAAAGTCCTTCCCCCACCTAGTACAACTTAGTGTTTGCTTACAAAATGAATGGATAAATCTATCTATTCTTCCCAATCAAATCTGCTTCACTTTGAATACTCCCTGCTCTATTCACTCATCAAATGTTTACTGAGCACCTACTTTGTGCAAGCCACCAGGTCAGGAGTCAGAGAGAGAGAAGTGAGTAAGATTGGCAATAGTCCGGCCGATGTAGACCTCTCATTATGGGCTTAATGGCTGTATGGTTCTCCTGGGCATTCAACCTCACACCACAAAACATCTTCTACATTTTTGATTCCCCAACCACTGATTCCAACTTGATTCCAACTCCTAATGACACTGTATGACAGAGTAGAACTGCCCCATGGGTTTTGGAAGACTGTAATCTTTACAGAAGTTGACTGCCACATCTTTCTCTTGTGGAAAGGCTGGTGGATTCCACGACCTATTGGTTAGCAGCCCAGTACTTGAACCACTGTACCACCAGAGCTCCTATTCACTTGATTGTTATTGTTAGGTATCGTCAAGTCAGTTCCAACTCATAGTGATCCTACACACAACAGAATAAAACACTGTTTCGTCCTGTGCCATCCTCACAATTGATGCTGTGTTTGAGCCTGTTGCTGCAACCACTGCATCAATCCATCTTGTTGATGGTCTTCCTCTTTTTCACTGACCTTCTAATTAACAAATGCTGTCCTTCTCCGCTTGGCTCTACATGCTCTACTTTTTCTACACTAGCACTTGCCCTCTTTGCCCAATTCTACTTCTATTACCCCAACCTAGGTTTGTCAGGCCTACTGGAATTCTTCTCACTTGGCATCTCTTCCTGCCCAGTGTAAATACAACACACACACTGCTGTCAAGTACAGCGCCCTTGAGTACAAATCCACTCCTTGGACTTATGATCAACAATTTCGAGCTGAAATAGAAAACAAGCGAAGGCTTTCCAAAAACTGCTAGCAATACAGTGGAGTTTTAAAAGTTACCTCTGGAGCAGGATGATGATGAAGGAAGTGAGGAAGTCATGCTCAGGGCTCATGGAGAGCTATTGGTGGGTCTGGCACCAATGGGACTGGGCTGGGCTCAGGTAGTGAAGGCCCCTTGATACCTGCCCCTACAGGGCCACAGCTTATGTGACTCACCAACTAGTCCTTGCAAGATCAGAAATTTCAGCAAGATGAACATAACTGTCTCGGTTATATCTGTGCTACACCTTTAGCACATGGTACAATGCCCGATACAGTATTTGCGGAATCAATAAAACTCTAACCGTGAGTTGTATGATCTCCTGCAGGGTAAGACTTTGATTACTACAGGTCAAAGCAGCCTCTTTTTACTTTGTTGTTGTTGTTGTTAAGCGTTGTTGAGCTAGTTCCGATCCACAGCGACCCTGTATAGGGTTTCCAAGGAGCAGCTGGTGAGCTTGTATCGCCAGCCTTGAAGTTCAAATTGACTTTGAAGTCCAGCGCATTAACCCACAGCACCACACCAAGACTGCTTACACATTAGCCAACAGTTGAAGCAAAAAGAACTAGATTCATTACTTCAGGGGCCTTACCAGATCCGCAGGTTTTTCCTACCATGGAGCAGTCTGAACTGATGTCTTTTTGGTTAGCAGTCAAACACTTCCGATGTGAGATGATACAAATGTTGTCAACAATACCAAAGTAATGGATGAAGGCAGTTGGGGATAGAATTTCTTTACTTCTTTTATCCTTAGAAATTAAGTCTCTCAATTCAGAAGGCTCTGCTTCCAAGGAAATGTCTGACACTAGTTTTACTCCTCTTTTCTTGGCTGTGTCCTTCTCATCTTCAAAATCCAACTTAAAGATTACTTTTAGGAAGGTGACTGTAATGAACACTTTACCTTTTCTCTAATACTCAGCATGGTATTAATTTGCACTCCATGATATTCGCAATTCAATAAATCAATAAATCTGTTTACTACAGGTTGTGTTCTTTCACCATACTTATTTAACCTGTATGCTGAGCAAATAATACGAGAAGCTGGGTTCAATGAAGAAAAACGTGGAGTCAGGATTGGAGGAAAACTCATTAACAACCTGCAATATGCAGATGATACAACCTTGCTTGCTGAAAGTGAAGAGGACTTAAAACATTTACTGATGAAGATCAAAGAGCACAGCTTTCAGTATAGATTGCATCTAAATGTCAGGAAAACAAAAATCCTCACCACTGGACCAATAAACAACATTCTTATCATCAATGGAGAAAAGATTGACGTTGCCAAGGACTTCATTCTTCTTGGATCAACTATCAACATTCGCGGAAGCAGTAGTCAAGAGATCAGATGACGTATTGCATTAGGCAAATATGCTGCATAGGAACTTTTTAAAGTGTTGAAGAGCAGAGATGTCAGCTTGAGGACTAAGGTGCGCCTGATCCAAGCCATGGTATTTTCAATAACCTTATATGGATGTGAAAGCTGGACAGTGAATAAGGAAGATCGTAGAAGAATTGATGCCTTTGAGTTGTGGTGTTGGAGGAGAATACTAAAAGTGCCATGGACTGCCAAAAGAACCAATAGATTCTGTTTTGGAAGAAGTGCAGCCAGAGTGCTCCTTGGAGGCCAGGATGATGGCTAAGCTTCATCTCTCATACTTTGGACATATTGTCAGGAGGGAACAGTCGCTGGGTCAGAGAAAAAGAGGAAGACCCCCAACGAGATGGCTCGACCAGGTGGCATCACTGATGGCATCAAGTGTGGCAGCGGTAGTGAGGTTGGCCCAGGATCAGACATTGTTTCGTTCTGCTGTGCATGGGGTTGCTATGAGTTGGTTCCGACTCGATGGCACCTGACAACAACAACTGCAGAATAGATTTAAATTCCTTCTTTAAGTACTGCAGTGCTTCCAGACTCAGAAAGACTTAGAAGAAAGGCCTAGAAACAGAGTCACTTCTGAAAATCAGTCAGTGAAAATCCAATGGCTCACAGGCACATGACAGGGCAGCATTTTGTTTCATCGTACATAGGATCACTATGAGTCAGGGAATAACATGACAGATGCTAACAGCAGCAGCAAAGGCACAGAACATTAAACCTGTGAAGAGCATGGTCCCTAGCCCTAGAGAGCTTTGAGATTTATAAAGAAAGACAGACACACAATATTATACCAGGTCCATTTTGGTAAGAGGTATCAACCAAGTCCTCTGGTACCAGAGAGGAGAGGGCCATTAATGGCTTTCAAAATCATCTTAAATCTTTTCATGTGTAAAGCTGTTGCTTATTTGAGGACTGGACCTCCTACATTTGTTTCAGATGGTCTGGTAGAGAAACTAAAGGCACTCCAATACTGTTTAGTACTACATTTCTTTCAAATGCTTTTCTTTAAACTTTCTAAATGTTAGCCTTAAGCAAGCAGTAATCCAAGAACCAATGTAATGATGCCTTTCTACTTCTGTGTGTAAGAAAAACAATAAAGAAAATTTTAATAAGCAAAAGCACATCCAGAATAACATTAGAACTTATGTACCCCTACAGGGGGAAAGTGCATAATGACATTAGATGCATTATATCGCCCATCAGTGGTGACTGGCTTGGATCTACATGTTGCTTCTGAAGCAAAACACTAACAATGCTAATCACCACATAATTCAAAGTAAAAGAGGGAGAGGGCAAGGGGAGAACACAGTATGTCTATTTGTTCTTATTGGCAGACAAAGAAACACAGGCTCATGGATAAGAGAAGCACATTCAAAGAGAAACTGCCAGTAATGATTTGGAATATTAGGAGAAGCAAAAAATGATACCCACTGTAGGCAGAAAATGGTGGAAGGGTCAGGATACCTGGGATGAGCTGGCCATCTACATAGAACCTAGTTTTTCTTTTGTTTTCCCTTAGCAATAGAAGTGAAAATAAAATGAGAAGTGAAAATAGGTCTTCTTCAACAAACCAGAAAACAAAGCTAGCCTTTGGATGGCAGAGATGAGAAAATGATTAATATGAGGGCTGTACTTCCAAAAGTGTAAAATAGTAGCAAGTTCAATTTGTCTACTGAGGATCTAAAATGTGCAGGATAGGAAAGGAATTCAGAGGAAAAGAGAAAACCATCTTATCCTCATGGGGCTTCCAAGCTCACAGCCTAGTGGGTGAGGCAAACACAATGAATCAGTATCTTCCACAAACACCAACAAGATGGCTGGACTAGATTAAAAAAGAAATGGGATCAAGAGAGGCTGGCCACCTAGAAGGACAAATCCCCAGTCAATGGGAAAGGCCAAGGGGAGGCTCACTGGGAGTGGAGGGAAGAAAAGGGGAAGATGGAAAGCTACAGTCAAGGAAGATAATATTCCAGAACTGGAGCTTAGAGTGAAGGCAGTGCTTGGCTCTCAGGAGGATCCCAACAAATGTCTACTGAACAGTGACTGTGAGACAAGA